ATGAATTTGTTTACGCGTATCTGTTGACCGACTTAATTAGCTGATTATTAGCGAATTGCTGTGTTATGTCTGTCATCGTTTAGGCTATTTGAAGTTTTGGACGGAACTTGGCTCAGTGATTTGGAACTAATTACCAGATAATCGTCGCTATTCTGACAGTTGGTATCCATAGTTATTAATGTAGTGAACGATTAATCAAAAGATATGACGTATTCAGTACTTAGTGTGATTGGCTTTATGATTGAAGGTTACGCCCTAGAGTCTTTTTACTGCTTTGTAATTGGTTAGAGTTTTGAAAATGAATAAAGAGAGTTTGAGTTGGTCTTGGGGAACACAGCACGATAGACGCAGTCTAGAGCAGTCCTGGAGAGTCGAGTCGAGTCCTGGAGAGCCTTGGGGCGAGTGTTGACGCAGTCTAAAAGAGTCTTGGGTCAGCCTTGCGATAGTATTGGGGATTTTTCCCCAGGGCGCTGTGTCTGATAGAGTGCTCGATTGACCGACTAAGACGAGAGCTGAAACGTATTTCGTTGTGTGTGTCTTATTTGACTGTAAAGTATAAGTGACTTTCCCGATCCCGTACCTCAAGGGGACGAGATATAGAGACGAGACGAGATTCCCCCCTGACACGTGTGGAGAACCCGATAGAGAAGATTTTCCCCCGTGATACGTGGTGGAGAATCCGGGCAGGTGTTTAACACACCTTGACATCCTGTGAAGAATAGTGAAATGGCGAAGGTGTGTCTTTCTTGCGAACCGAACTAACTGGCTCGATGGCAGAGACCAAACTGCGCTTGACGACTAACACCGTTAACAGTATGGCACCGATGAACAACGCTGAAGAGATGAAGACTTCTGAACCCCTTACGAAGGATGAGTACCAGATAGGACTGTATAATTAAGAATTGAGGGACATTAAAGACAAGAAGATGAAAGAACGACCCCGGACTAACGCGATGACAAGAAGGAGACGCTTATAGACTTTGACTTTAGCTATCTGTGTATTGCTTAGAGAACCGCTCATTGGACACTGTAACTGACACTGTGTAACTCAGGAAGTTGAACCCTTTTCCAGAACCCTAACCCTATTGTTCAGTAATGTAATGTATTGCTTGCTTTTTCTATCTTTTTTCTTACCGTTTTTTTTTTGTGGTATTGAATTGTATGTGTGTAAGCGCCCAGATCTTTGTTTCGAAGTGATATGTGGTGACATGCGAGGTCCTTTATAACGATTTAAACGCGCCTCAGTGGACAAGTATTTGCAACACAGTGTTATGAGTTTTGTGAAGTTTTATGGTGTTTTAATGAGTTTATGAGTAAGGAATATGACGGGAGAGTAATGCCCCAATGAGTTTTTCAGAGTTTTGAGATTTGTCGAGTACAGAGATACCGACGTTTTAAGAGTTGTTTTTGTTTACGTGTTGTTCCGGAATACTTCTGACGCTTTTTGAGTTGAGAGCACTTTGTAACGTTTTTTATGTCTTTTTGGGATGAGAGTTTGGTGCGCTTATATATGTATTGTTTGATAACGCAAGCTTTTTTTTCATGATTGACAGGATTATATGTAACATAATAGTTTCTATCGTTTTGCCTTTCCCGTCTTTTTTGCCAGAGTAATGTGTTATGATAGCTTTGTCTTTGCATTCTGTTTCCACGCTGTATGACTTTTGTTTAGATTAACAATTTGTGAGTTCAGTTGAAGTTTATACTGTAAAATGACTAATATTCACTGGGTTTAAATTTCACTGATTTACCATTTCAGGCATATTCAGTGGGTTTTAAATTCACGGTTTCGTCATTTAGATAATGTGTTCTATGCTAAATTTTACATATTCACTGGGTTTTAATTTAGCGCATTTTTCCAGTCAGCGAAATAAGCTAAATTAAAACCCAGTGAATAATTACCCCCTTTACAGTAAGCGTATATGAAAGGAGTTTGATTAATAGATTTTTATTCATCGTTTATTAGTTACCGCTTTGCAATGCTTTAACCGAGAGACGCATCCCTGGTAATCACGTGATCATGCTGTCGACTGCAGCGATTGGCTGATCGCTTGGTTACACCGTCAC